CATACATAAATATGCCTCTTTTAAGTCCAGTAAGGATTTTCTCCAAAGAGAATCCAGGAATAATATTGTAAGAGATGACGTTGTTTAAGTGAACTCAGCTATAAATACTTTAATTGCTTTACAAAACGCATCGAATTTGTCACATCCTTAACTCCAGCATGAGGAATTTGGCATCTCTGTGCCAGGAAGAATCATGCTGTGGGTTCCAAATTGCCTGCAAAAGTCACAGCCAAGCCAGAAATTCACACTAAAAAAAAAAATACTACAACTTACATAGGAAAGAAGTGATTTAAATGGTGTTGAACATCGGCAAAATCCCAGGTTTGGAACATTCAGGATATGAGTTGAGAGCTTGTGAGGTGACTGTAGTGATTTCCTGGATTTTGTGGAGCTGAAGAGTTGCTTTGTTCCTTAGACTTCACATAGGGAAGTATAAATGGTTTCCCTGTGACATACATGCTATTAATATAAGGAAAATTCTCTGAGATTTCAGGAAATATAACCTAGACCTTTCTAAGAAGGGGTGTGGACATGGAGCTGGCTGTGGTTGCCTGGATGAAACAAATGCCTTCAAAAGGCACCTCATTTTAAAAACTTTATTATTACTTATTTTCTGACATTGTTTAAATTTGTAGCTGTTTTTAAGAGGCACAGCAAATTATGTGCTCTGCCTTCAAATGAAGAGGTGAGGCAAGAAATGGTTAAATCCATAGTTAGTCTGCACTTTGAACAGTGAAATTCTGGTTTCTTTCCTTCCAAAAATGTTTATGCTGGTACCAAACCCAGTATCTGCATCAAAATTCTCCCAGGAAACTGGTTCAGGACAAACAAAAGGAAGGGAATTTCAGTCCCATGTTCTGGGAACACAAGCTTTTAAGAGGAGGCTGCACAAGCATTTGGAAGAGCAAACTCTTAGAGTTACTCTTTAGACAGGTGACACCAGGCTCAGGATAGGTGGAGAGTGGGAGGGTTTTAAATGTGCCTCCTTCTAAATTTGCTTTTTGCCTATCAAGAAATTACATTTTTGTCCATGCTGAAGCATTTTCCAAGTATTTAATTCACTCCTGTGCCCCACTGGAATCAAGCAATTAAAGCTCTACAGGTGTGAAATCTTGTCAGAATTGTGTAATGGCATGTTAAGTACCTTGAAACAAATAAAATAATTTGCTTTTTCCCCTTTGAATTCTACCTATTAAATATCAAACCCATATACTTCTGTTATTCAGACAGATCAGGAAGTTAAGAGGAAAATTTGGATTAAAAATAGTACCAATAGCAGCTAAAAAAGTCATGATAAGACACTGGAAAATCTGTGGGAATGGTTGTGATTGGTTTGCACTTATCTAGCCCTGTAGTATTTCCTGACCAAGTCTTAAGAGTTTTAGAATTTTTTTTGCTTATTTTGGTGAAATACACATGGATTGTATTAGGAAAACCAGTGAGAAAGTAAGAAAGTCAGAATAGATTACTAAATGTTACATTGATTAAGTAGTTACATGCAAACTACTTGTGAGTTAAACATTTTTAGGTTCCTTCTGATGATGAGAAGGAGCTTCCAGGGTTAAAACCCCCTCAGAATCTTTCCAAGAGGCATCTCCAGCAAGGCTCTGACAATTCAGATTTGTTACACCAACTGACTGCAAAGAAATAAATGTCCAAACCTTACCCAAATGTTCTTTCACTGAGAAGAGATGCCTCTTTTGAACTACAATAACCAGGACAACATTGTTTTGCTTTGCCTCTGACTTTCCCCTAAGTTTTTTGAAGGCTCCAGTGGAATTTGACAAGAGGCATTTAGGCTTTTGCAAAGTCTATGTGTAATAAAGCCTGTGTGTAATACCTCTGTCTAATTACATAATACATGTGTATAACTATGTTAAAAAAATACACATAAAATTAGGAAATTAAAACAAACTGCATCTGTTCTGCAATGGAAAGTCCACTGACATAAACACTTTTACAGTCACATAAAAAACAGAAGCATGAAATACTTGGTTTTTCATAGCTCTCCCAAGCAACAACCAGTGCTGATATTGCAATGTTGTCTCTCTTTTTAATTGTACCACTATTTAGAAAACTCTGGATCCTGACTTATGAGGAAAGTTATACGGAATTACAAGGAAAACGTAGAATGTAACCAAACCTGTAAAATAAGAGACCGGTTCTTAAATGCCAGCGATTTTTGCAGTCTTAGGGAACCATTTGTTTCCCTTTCTTTCTTGAAAATAATGAAATAAGCGGAAGCTTGCCCCAATTCCCCCCTCACACATGCACAGGACCAACAAAACACAGGAATTTTCCGCTGGCACAACAGCCTTTCAGTGCTTGCCATCTGCTGTGCTGGCAGGACCCATCAGAGGAGCACCAGCAGCAAGGCAGGAACTGGAATGTCACGTTTTGAATATTCATTGTCACAGCTGGGCCTCCTCCTCTCCCAGCCTGACTTTGCCTCTCCCAGCCTCCCCGTGGCAGCTTTGGAGCAGGGGAGCAGCCAGGAGCAAGGTGCTGGAATCAAGACTTACAACTGCCAAACACCAGGATCCTCAGTCAAAACCAGCCCCCATTCCTGCTGGGGGATCTGTCATTCCCATTTACCATTGTTATTGATAGAGAGTTTTAAGGATTTTTGCTCTGGGAAGGGGGCTTTGGTGAAATCCCACTTTTCTAGATCCGTAACCAGTTTATTTTGAATTTACTTATCACAGAGTTTCTTTTCCCCTCTTGCTAATTCTGCTTCTGGGTTATGTGTCTGTGCTTTCAGTACCTGGCAAATGGGAGTGCACAACTTCATTAGCATGGGCTCCAAATGTGGAAAGGGAGTTCAGATATCCCAAAGGACAGCCAGTTCCTCCAGGAAGCACTGCTGCACCTCATTCAAGTTAAAACATGTTAATTTTAGGCTTCTTGTTATTTCAAACCTACCAAATCCAGTGCTCCTGAAAATCAGTCTCAGCAGGAAGGTACACAGTGCTCAGGGAGCTCCATGGTGAATTCTCTGGCTCTGCCTGCAGGTGAAGGAGACATGTGGATACTCTCAAAGGTCTTGAGGTTGTAAGAATTCTGCTTTAGTGCAGGGAGCTCCAAAGTTCCTTGTCTCCACATAAAGACTAATGAGGTCAGACAAATCCAATGTGTCTGCCAAGCAAGTCCTCCTCCATCAGCAACTCTCCTCAAGTCAAGGGATGATATCAAGATAAAGTTTCCCTCTGTTCCACATGCTCCATGCTGTGACAGAAGCAGAAGATGGCTTGTACTTTGTCATTCTTTCAACCTGAACTCCCAGATTTACCTTCTTTGTCTTCTGATCTTCTGCAGCTGGATTTGCATGGTGTCTGTACCACTGCATCCTTGGGATAACAGCTTTCCCTGTCACTGCTGCTGCTCTGGTTTATGCTCAGGTAGCACTAAAACCACAGCAGGATTTAACACTCTCACTTTTGTACTTTGGCTGGGGGACAGAAGGAGGTAAATCATAGAATGATGGAATGAGTTGGAAAGGACTCATGAGGACCATGGAATTCTGGGCCCTGGCACTGCACAGGACAGCTCTAGTAATCCAAAAGCCTCTTATTATGATGGTTCCACTTAATTCTGCTTTTTTGTGTTTGAGCACCTACTGAGGCCACTTTAACTCCTGACTGTGAGACCCCTCACACCTATAAGCCCCTCGGTGAGTTCCCACAGCCAGAGGGGACTGAGTGCCAAGGTTTCTGCTGGAGAGATGGAATCTTTGGGGGGCACTGGGAAGAGCATTGCCAGCAGGTCAAGGGGGTGATCCTGCCCCTCTGCTCAGCCCTGTGAGGCATATCTGGAGTGCTGTGTCCAGTCCTGGGCTCCTCAGGACAGGAGGGACATGGAGCTCCTGGAGCGGGTCCAGCGGAGGCTGCGGATATGATTCAGGGACTGGAGCATCTCCCTGAGGAGGAAAGGCTGAGGGAGCTGGGGCTGTTCAGCCTCCAGAGGAGACACTGAGAGGGGACCTCATCCATGTGTGTCAGTGTGTGCAGGGAGGGGGCAGAGGATGGACCAGGCTCTGCTCGGGGGTGCCCAGCAATGGGAGGCCACGGGCAGGAACTGATGCCCAGGAAGTTCCACCTGGACATGAGGAAGAACTTCTTTGCTGTGCAGTGACCGAGCACTGAACAGCTTGCCCAGAGAGGGTGTGGAGTTTCCCTCGCTGGGGGTGGTTCCAGAGCGATCTGGACGCAACTCTGTACCGTGTGCTCTGGGATGAGGTGTGAGCAGATGGGGCACTGTGGGATCTCGGGACCCGGCTACCGGCGCTCCCTGAACACTCCACGGGCTGTTGGAAAAGGCGGGGCGCGACTGCCCCGAGG